TCATGAAAAGTGTCAAACGATCAGCTGATTTGCATGTGCAAACCAAAATAGATAGCGGAAAATATGGAAGTAAACAACGAAATATTTGAATATGTATAGATTTTAATAGTTAGTGATATTTCAGCCAAATCAGTGTTGTACAAATTACATGTAAACAAACCGACTGACGTTTTTACAGGAAATAGTGCTTTTTGCGTTCCTGTGAACTTCTGCATATGTTCTCCTTTTACTCTCACTTGAGAGAGTAAAATTGTAGTTGGACAGTTCCACAGGTTTTAGTCCGAAGTTCAAAGCAACAGAGTAACTATTACAACCGCAAACATAGTTGACCGCGAAAATGAGTTTACGCGTCCTTCTTCGCCGTCAAATATTTTAACGCGTCTTTTTTCGCCGTCAACCATGTTAAGAGTCTTTCTTCGCTGAAGTTTTTTTATGCGCCTTTTTTCGCGGTCAACTTTTGAGCTCGCGCCTTTATTCGTGTCTAGTGACGATATGTTTCCATTTTTGACTTTTTACTTAGGGTGGTATTATCACTTGCGAAGCGAATGATTTTGGCGAAGCGAACGGTTTGCCGAAGCAAATTAAGGGGCAGAGAAGGCATTAAAAGTGTTCGCGATGGAAAGAACTTCCACAAGCTGGTAAAAAAGAACACTCTTAATGCATATTTAAGTTGCGTCCGCCAATCCATTCGCTTCGTCAAACCGTTCGCTTCGCCAAATTCATTCGCTTCGCAAGTGATAATACCGCCCTTAATTACCAATGTATATGTAGTTAGGTCGTCTATTTTTTCTCATCTTTTCTGTAAGCTCTTGTTCTTATACGCTCTACTAGTTCTGTAAGCTCTTGCTCATTTAGGGTCGGTTGTTCAATGTCTGGTTATCACTACTTGCCGGTTAAACATCATTATCGACGATTTCGACAGCATGCATATAACAAGTGATCGATAAAGCAGTCGTTGTATCTAACCGATGCTTCTACCTCCGATTTGTGCTAATCAGACATTGAACAACCGGCCCTTACGCTTTACTATTTCTTACCTAGTTTTCACTGTTGGCTAAGCATTAGAATTGAAGTTTAGTTTAAAATTAAACACCCTCATTGCGAGAGTCGTGTCGAATGCAAGTCGTTTTTCGAGAGTCGAATCGTATCGAAAATTTCACGCCATTGCCTAAAATTTCCACTCGACTAGTGAATTAAAACGGAAAAACTTGGCACTGTACGGTACAGTTTTCGACGATTTTGGTCGTTTACTTTTTTCAGTACGACAATAGACAATGCTACTGTTGTCGACTCGTATAATTTAGCCTAATTTACGACTTACGCAATGGGGCTGAATATAAGTAATTGAGTTGTAAAAATATTCAAAAAAATAATTAGCGCCGGTTACTCAATGTCTGGTTAACACTAATCTCCGTTTAAACATCATTATCGACGTGTTCGGCTCCATGCATATAACATGGAGTGGGTAACGTCGACAACGATGTTTTACCGGAGATTAGTGTTAACCAGACATTTGGTAACCGGCCCTTATTATCTTACCGTACTTTTGAGATAAATAAATATTCAAATGGCTTCTAGCCTTATCGCGGAGAAAATTTTCATGTCAGGTAGGGTTACATAAAATTGGGCCGATTTCACTTATTTTTATTTTAAGCGAATATAATTTTNTCCACAGGTTTTAGTCCGAAGTTCAAAGCAACAGAGTAACTATTACAACCGCAAACATAGTTGACCGCGAAAATGAGTTTACGCGTCCTTCTTCGCCGTCAAATATTTTAACGCGTCTTTTTTCGCCGTCAACCATGTTAAGAGTCTTTCTTCGCTGAAGTTTTTTTATGCGCCTTTTTTCGCGGTCAACTTTTGAGCTCGCGCCTTTATTCGTGTCTAGTGACGATATGTTTCCATTTTTGACTTTTTACTTAGGGTGGTATTATCACTTGCGAAGCGAATGATTTTGGCGAAGCGAACGGTTTGCCGAAGCAAATTAAGGGGCAGAGAAGGCATTAAAAGTGTTCGCGATGGAAAGAACTTCCACAAGCTGGTAAAAAAGAACACTCTTAATGCATATTTAAGTTGCGTCCGCCAATCCATTCGCTTCGTCAAACCGTTCGCTTCGCCAAATTCATTCGCTTCGCAAGTGATAATACCGCCCTTAATTACCAATGTATATGTAGTTAGGTCGTCTATTTTTTCTCATCTTTTCTGTAAGCTCTTGTTCTTATACGCTCTACTAGTTCTGTAAGCTCTTGCTCATTTAGGGTCGGTTGTTCAATGTCTGGTTATCACTACTTGCCGGTTAAACATCATTATCGACGATTTCGACAGCATGCATATAACAAGTGATCGATAAAGCAGTCGTTGTATCTAACCGATGCTTCTACCTCCGATTTGTGCTAATCAGACATTGAACAACCGGCCCTTACGCTTTACTATTTCTTACCTAGTTTTCACTGTTGGCTAAGCATTAGAATTGAAGTTTAGTTTAAAATTAAACACCCTCATTGCGAGAGTCGTGTCGAATGCAAGTCGTTTTTCGAGAGTCGAATCGTATCGAAAATTTCACGCCATTGCCTAAAATTTCCACTCGACTAGTGAATTAAAACGGAAAAACTTGGCACTGTACGGTACAGTTTTCGACGATTTTGGTCGTTTACTTTTTTCAGTACGACAATAGACAATGCTACTGTTGTCGACTCGTATAATTTAGCCTAATTTACGACTTACGCAATGGGGCTGAATATAAGTAATTGAGTTGTAAAAATATTCAAAAAAATAATTAGCGCCGGTTACTCAATGTCTGGTTAACACTAATCTCCGTTTAAACATCATTATCGACGTGTTCGGCTCCATGCATATAACATGGAGTGGGTAACGTCGACAACGATGTTTTACCGGAGATTAGTGTTAACCAGACATTTGGTAACCGGCCCTTATTATCTTACCGTACTTTTGAGATAAATAAATATTCAAATGGCTTCTAGCCTTATCGCGGAGAAAATTTTCATGTCAGGTAGGGTTACATAAAATTGGGCCGATTTCACTTATTTTTATTTTAAGCGAATATAATTTTTCCAAAGAAGGCCGTAGCGGGGATTTTCTTCACAAAATATTTGTTATTAATGCCTTAAATTTAGGTGTGAAGTTTTGTTCGCAAATTTAGAAAATAACAAATTGTTTCACTGTTTGCTTAACACGCGTTTGTGTTTGGATATAGTGCCAACACACAGAATAAATATTACAGGTACTGTCTTCCCAGATAGCGCAAATTCAATTCTGCCTTAATTGCAAAACATCAATGTTACCCACGCCTAAAGGTTTAAGGTAAGGTAAAAAATGGATATTTTCAAGCACTACGTACACATATGTATTTTTTTAAAAACTCGTCTTGCTGAAAACTTATTTAAATTCCAAACACAGAAGGCCAACTTGAATTTAAAGAACCAACACTGAAATGCACCAAAATGAAAATAAAAGAGCACAAATTTCTATGTAAAGCAAAACTTTCTGNTTTCGCCGTCAACCATGTTAAGAGTCTTTCTTCGCTGAAGTTTTTTTATGCGCCTTTTTTCGCGNTAAAAATCCTGCGAGAATTATCACTAAAAATATCAGATAGTAAAGAAAAATGCTCCCAAATTCTGCTGAAGTAGAGAAACTTTAAAATTTCCGCACGTACACAAGATTGCAGGAATTTGCAACTTTCCCTGCCAGCTAGTGTCCACGGCTGCATTTCAAACATAAGAAATTTGTATAGAATTCTTTCCGAGGGGCAAAACAAAGAATCTACAGGTAAATTTCTTGTTAGTCTATGGTGAAATGAACTGAAGGTGGCGCATTCCCGAAACCGCTACTTTGGTTTTGCCGACTTTGACATTTATGGCAATACGTAAACAAACTTTTTGTTTAGAAACAAGTGCAAACGTATTGTGTACTTTCAAGTGAAAAATCGAAGTAATTCGTGCGTTCTGAAGTAAAAAACGTTTTATTTGTAATAAAAACTTTATAAAAATGTCGTGTCGTGTGTTGAATTGCAGCAGCCGTAGGGGTAAAGCCCCCAAATGCAGTTTTTTTTTGTTTCCCCGCGACGACGCCTTGGCCAGAAAGTGGGTAGAGTCTGCCGGCAGGAGAAGCCATAAAATTTAGACACCAGCGTAATATGCATGAAGCACTTTACGGACCACTTTTAAACACGACATGTTAAGTTGAAAACGTTGAAATACCACAAATTACAAATTAAAATCGGAGGTAAGCAAGCATCGACCACTTTCTGCAGGAAAACATGCGCTGCGACAAGATATTATCACTTTTTCGGCACCTGCAATACAAACACAAAAATTCTAAATAGTTAATTAATAAGACCTATTCTTTTGAACACATTTCAAGAGTGGTTGTATATTTTTTGTTAACGTAGTGCTTAATTTGCTATATTCAAAGATGGCTTGAGAAATTGGTGAATCGAGAAGAAAACACGTTTTCTCACCGCAAATTCACAACTGTCAACTCATTGTTCTTCGCCATATTCTTTGTTTACCCGTTGCCACAAATGTCATTCTGCGGGAATGCGCAATCTTGTATTCTATCGTTCTTGTTGTTAGACCGACTTTCTTCAACATACGTTTCAATTTCTTTGTCGTAGTAACTGTCGGGTTTCCTATATCGACTCTGGTTGAGATTGCATTCAGATTACGAATACAGTTCCTTTCAGCCGAGTACCTTTCAAATCATTGGAATTAACTAAATTAACTAAGTAAACAAGTATTTACTTACATTTTTCATTTCAAAATCGCTCAAGTTTGTAAATTTTTAAATTTAACGAACTTGTTTATTCAAATTATCGTCGACGAAAAATCCAACTATGTGCCACAACCATATGTTTTTCCTTATTGCAAATTCTTGCTCGAAAAATTTTTTCCAGCTTGAATTTGAATCTTCTCTCCAAGAACTAGTCTTTCTACTTATGATTTGTTTAAATACAACATCTGAAATTTAGTTGAAACAGTTTAGCCGTTTTTTTTTTATTTTAGCCGGTTGGTCCAAAAAGTTCTGGCAACACTGATAGTAGCTCTGATCCAGTACCCATGAACTTACAGGTTTTTATACGAACTTGCAGGAAGTTACAGGAAAAATGATCCCGTACTCAAAATTCCTCCAAAATCCTGTAAATGAGAGCGATTTTTGGGGAGTTGTGTTGAGAATGAAGTTGCAAGATTTTACCCGAACTTTTTCTTCTGGTAAAATCATGAAAAGTGTCAAGCGATCACTGGTTGACGTTTTTACAGGAAAATGCTTTTTTTGTTCCCGTACTTTTTGTTTTTACTCACTTTTTACTCTCACTTCAGAGAGTAATTTTGCTGTTTGACAGTTTTACAGGGTTTTTCACGAAAAGTATTGGACCAGAGCTAGTAATTAGCATAAAGGAGTTGGTATTGGTGACAGATAAAATTCAAAAGTGTATGAAAAAAGATGCCGAATTTCGACAACCTGGCGATACTAGTACTATAAAATAGATACGTTGACGGCCCTTAATGACTTTTTTATTTATTACAAAATAAAAAATTAATTTATTTTGCATAAATGAATATACCAGCAAATAATCTACGTACTTAAACGTTTGATTATGCCCTCATATTTATACACACATAAGTATGTCAGTTAAGGGAAGATATTTTGGTGATTGCAACATTGTATAAATTGTTAGTTTATCTTACAAAATTGCCTGGGAATATTACAGAGTATAAGGAAAATTTTATATTTTTATTTTTTATTTAGAATAACGTCTTGTCGGGCTATTTGGTTTACTACACAGGTATGTAGATCTATGAATATTAAAAATACATCAAGGTTTAGTTGAGATATTCGCATTTTATCACTATGTTCTGCACATTTCCCAGTACTGCAAAGCTTCACCTGCGAGTGGCCAGAAGTGATTCGTGTGCTTACGGTTGAAATTGCAGTTCACTGCGTCTGGATATTTGTATCCACGTGTCCTCTGAGTACGACTAAACACCCGTTTGAGATCGAGCTAAAGTGAGAAGGCGTAAAACTCCGCGTGCGCTGGGTTTGGGTCCCGCCACGTTAAAACCCTGTCCAATGAAAAAAAAACATGCCTCGAATGATACCCCCCGGCTGGTTGATGTCCTCGGGAAAATAAAAGCAGACTCGTGCTTGGCCACTTTAATACCAGGGCGGCCAAGGATGGGATCTTTGGTGCCACTATCGGAAAATTCATCCTCCAAGACGAAGCGTCTGATAATGGGCTGCGACTGATCGACTTCGCCGGACCACTTTTCGACCCTTTGAATGGCACCAGCACTGAAAGTAGTGGAGAAGACGAACATGAGTCCCCAGTGGATGACGATGGAGTATGATGAGGTACAAATAGCGATTATGCTGATGAAAAATAACAAAGTTGCTGGAGCTGATGGCCTGCCAGCGAAGCTATTCAAGTACGATGGTGAGGAGGTAATAAGATTGCATCCTCGATGACTGGAATTCCAGTGTGCTGTGCCCAATCCACAACAAAAGGCGACTTCGCGAAGCGCGCCAACTATTTTATCGAGCGTGTTGTGTGAAAGACTGAAGCCCACCATCAAAGAACTGATAGCGCCTTACCAATGTGGCTTGAGATCTACCAAATCCACCATAAATCTCGTATTCGCAACACGCCAAAATTTGGAAAAGCCCGTGAGAATAGGATCGACACATATGTTCTATTTGTCAATTTCAAACCCGCTTTTTTCAGCTGGAAAAGAAGTTGTCTTTATTTCGTGGTGTCTGAATTTCGTATACCTTCGAAACTAATACGCTGTGTAAAATGACGTTGAGCAATAGCTCCGTCAGAATTGAGAAGGGTCTCTCCTAGCCGTGTGATACCAAACAACGGTTCAAAAAAGGTGACTCCCTTTCGTGCTATCTTTAATCTGATGTTGGAGAAGATAATAAGAGCTGCAGAACTTAACCGCCCAGGCACAATTGCTGGCGTATGCTGACGATATCGACATTATTGGTAAAATTAGGGCTACATCTTTTCAGCCTTTGCGGAATTAGAAAGAGAAGCAAAGTGTGTGTGAACGAGGACAAAACGAAGTATTTCCTGTAATTTCACAATAGGCAGAGCATAAGCGTCAATGACAATGAAAACATCTAATGAGGCGGCTCTCGGAGTTTTCGAGAGAAAGATTCTGCGAAAGATATATGGGCCGTTACGCATTGGCGTCGGCAAGTACCGCAGACTGAGCTCTATGAGCTTTATAATGGTATGCTACGCTGGCTTGGTCATGTCGAACGAATGGCCAGAAATTCTCCAGCTCTGAACGTTGGTCGCGATGGTGGAATATGAAGGCCCCCACCGCGATGGAAGGACCAAGGGGAGAGGGACTTGGCTTCACCTGGCATTTACCGCGTCAGTTGGCACAGAAGTGATACGACTGGCGTACTGCTGTGGACTCGGCCAAAATCGCTTAGATGGTTATAGCGCCAAATAAGAAGAAATGTGTACGTCCCAGATGCATTTGCTCAAGCGAGGATTAAACCAGACCCATCAGCAATGTATGTCTTGCCTGGTAAAATATTCAGTTGGTTATTTTTATGTAACTTGCTGACTTTAGGTTTTACAAATTTGACATATATGGGAACATTGTACTTTTTCTCAAAACAAAACAATTTGTGTAAATTCTGTTTGAGTACTCGCACTGTTTTAAAGGTTGCCGTTTCCCAATTCCTGCTTCTATATTTTTATCTCTACTCTTGCTTTCATTTTGACTAGTTCTGATAACAGTCGGTTTGTGTATTTTAAGCTCATCACACATCACTTTAACTGCCACACCACGTTTTAGTTTTACCAGAATACTGGTTAGTGTGGCCTGCATAAACAAATAAAGTTGTAGGTATTGAAGTTAAATTGTGTTGAAGTTTCACTTATAAAGGTAAAAATTTTTTGTTTTAAAGACTCGCATTAATCAAGGAATTGCATGTATTGAAAGTTGCGGTTAAATATGTTTGATCGGATAAACAGAAATTAAGTTACGAAAAATTATAAGGCTCAACCTATGAAAGTCCAGATTTTGAGGGGGTATTCAAAATTCTAAGTATGTATATTTTGTGTGCTTCATTAGATCTATAACTTCAGTAGTCACGCAGTGTTATTATCCCGACGAAATCCTTGACGGTGGTATCAGGAGAGGACCGGTACATAACGGTAGGAGGTTTAGTTTGGGTTAATCTCACACTGACGGGGTTAGGCTTTCGACGCTTCTTCCTCGGAAAAAAACATGTGCAGTAATAAGTTAATTATTTAAATCGACGAATAGTTTTATATAAACTTTTGTGAACTTCTATTTATGTATTTTAGTACAATATACTTGTATTGGTTACAATAATTTTAAGCTATATTATATTGGTTTTGAAAAAAAAAAATATTTTTATGATGAGAGTAAATGCAGAATATTTGCAAATGACAGCAGGACTGTGTTGCCACATCTAAAAAACCAAGCGTGACCAAAAGAGAATACGCATAAAAGAAAATAATTTTCAACTTTAAATAAATAGTAGGGAGATTGGGTTCATATAACCCTGACTGAGTAGAATTCTCCTTTTTGTGTTTCCGAAGAGGATAGGCTGAACACCTTTTGCAGAGAATACTTTTCTGCGAAGGTGGCCTTCGGGATTATAACCCTACTAAGTAGAATCCTCCTTTCCGTATTGCCGAAGAAGAGGGGCTGAACCCCTTTTGCAGAGAACACTTCGGCCGCGCATAGGGATTATAACCCTTACTAAAAATAATGCTCCTTTCTGTGTTGCCGATGAAGAGGGGCTGAGCACCTGACTAAGTAGAATTCTCCTTTTTGAGTTGCCGAAGAAGAGGGGCTGAAGAGCTTTTGCAGAGAACACCTTTCTGCGCAGGCGGGCTTCGGCCGCGTTTAGAGATTATAACCCTTACTAAGTAGAATTCTCCTTTTTGTGTTGCCGAAGAGGGGCTGAACACCTTTTGCAGAGCACACCTTTCTGCGTAGGCGGCCTTCGGCTGCGCTCGGGGACCTCATTCAACAAATGCATAGAACCATTTACCAACAAAAAATGTTATTATACATATACTTATATGAGATAAATATGTATGTACGTACCGACCCACCAACAAAATTACCCAGGTTATTATTACCATATTCGGTTTGTTTTTTCATTCTGAAATTTTTTTCCTTACTTTTGTTGTAAAAGTATAACTCATTCTCTGGCAAACGCCATGTAAATCTAAATTGCAAAAATTAGAAAAAATTTAATTAGAGTTTGTACAAAAATATTTAATATGTAGATTTGTCAACAATCGTTACTTGAGCTCATCTACGCTTTTGCCAGATTGCGAGGCCACTTACTCAATTTGGTGAATACCACTAATGATTTTATGGTTATTTATCGTATATGGCTAATAAAATTAGCAACTGCCTACTTTTTCTGAAACTTTAGTGGTATTTTCCATTTTTGTGTTTTATACAATTTGCTTTCGGATGTAAACAAACAACTGTTATGACAATCTGACTTTTTGCACATTTGTGCCCGGAAAAAAGTCCGAGCTGTTTTGGGCACGAAGAAGACGACTCATACGATGCAAAAGTGGAACGTATTCGCTCGCTATTACCCATTCTTCTATCGTGAGGAACGCTTTCTGGGCTTTTTCCGGGGGTAACTGACATAACTTCCACTGGGCCCGTGGAAGTCATTTCAGACTTAGGGCCGGTTGTTCAATGTCTGGTTATCGCTGCCTCCCAATTAAACATCGTTATCGACGTTTTCGACATCATGCATACAACATGTGATCGATAAAGCAGTCGCCGTATTTAACCGGAGCTTCTACCGCCGATTTGTGCTAACCAGACATTGAACAACCGGCCCTTAGAGTACAACTCCACAGTTAGCTTTTCAGGCTTTCAGCAATAGCTGAATTGTGTAGCTGGAAGCCTGAAAAGCGCCAAATGCCTGAAAAGCTTGTTGTGGAGTTGTACTCTTAATTTCCACGAAGATCAGACATAACTTCCATCGACGTTATGTCATGACATAACTCCCAGAAAATTTCCACGAAAGTCTCCATGGGAAGCGCTCCCCTCGCTCAGTGGATGGCGCTCCCATTCTCTGGGAATATAATTATTATTATATAGGAACTGTTTCAGTTCAACAATTAAATTTGTTAATTAATTTCATTTAACTACATATACATAGGTATATGCATACAGAGGGTAAAAAACATAATCAACGTTATCATGAGTTTAATTTTGCCCCGAACTGGTTCACTTTTCAGTTTTTGTTTCCGTTTATTTACTATGGGCGGATGAACATTTTCCGGGTGATTTTGTTTTCTGGCGAAGCTCAGGATTAGGCTGAATATTATTCGAACAACACTTTGAATATTTACTTGATATTCAACGAAATTTTCAATCATTGAAGGATTCTGACAGAATTCGCATTAATCCTTGACGAAACTCGCTAGGCATCTAGGGTTTAAATCTCCCAATTTGTCAAGGTCACTAAAGAAAGGAGACCACAGAAAGCGCAGTCTGCCTCTCGATAATACCGGGCATTTACAGAGGTGAAGAACTGTCTCCTCCTCCTCATAATCCTTGCAACTTCTGCAGCATCTATGGTAAGGCACTCCGAGTCGTTCTGCAGGTCTGCCTATAAGGCAGTGACCCGTTAGAGCACCGATTCCTCCGCTAGGGCAGGCACCTTGTCGTTGGTGCGGGGGCTTAGTTGAATCAACATCAGACCTTCCCTGGACTGGGGTAACGCATACGCCCTGCACCGCCTGCGCTACCCTCCCTCCAGGTTAGGGCTGCTGACGAACAGCGACCAAGAACTGCCACGCTGCTAATCCAGGGCGCGACGCGACACCGTGCCCATTGGACAATTTGCAGCCAGGAGGACAATCGGCTGTATTCTAACGGCGTCTGCTCAACACCGGGCCGTCTTGGGGAGTAACTGTGGCCTTGCCGCGGCACAGGGATCTACCGCGGTCGACGACTGAGTTCCCATGCAAGAAATGTAGACCACTGCGCTTGACTCGCCGAGCAGGTGGTCGTAAAAACAAGATGAATACAACTAAAAAAATAAAAAACAACAACAAAAACCCAAACCAAATAAGGCATGAGGACATCCTGACGCAGGACGTCGAACATGCGATGTCTGATGACGAACCATCTAGCAGCACAGATCCCGTGAGTCGTCGAGACGCCGATCCAGGTCCACGTCGAGCGAACGGGAGAATAAAGGCCCAAGGAAAAAGCATTGTCGTTGTAGACTACCGACACTACCACCGTCAGGTAAACCAGGGGCGATTAACGACCACCGAAGGCATGGACTGAGTGGTGCAGCAGTAAAGTGGTACCATAGGTATCTAGAAGAGGGCAAAACGCCGGAGGTGGCACGCACAAAGGCCCTCGAGCATATGGCTGAGCTAGAAGCAGAAGCAGAAAGAAACGAGCGCCATCGCGAAACCGCGCCCGCTAAGTGGAGGAGAAGCGGGGAAACACAAAGCGGCGGTCGGGGAAGACACCAGGTACCCGATGCCGCGCGAAAAGAGCAACGCAGAACTGCGCCTGCTGAAAAGCGAAGAAGCGGGTTAACAAGTGACAGGTCGAACAAGGCACGAGGTGATAAAATAGCTGAAACCGCGTCCGTTGAAAAACGAAGAAGCGGGTTAACTGAAGATATCGGAACCGCGCCCGCTGTGAAGCGGAGAAGTGGGCAAATAACACCTGAGGCAGATCCCATGACAAAACGGTATCGGTCACATCACAACCCGGCAGCAACAGGGCCGAGAGAGAAACAGGTTGGTTCCGAGTCGGTGCCACCGCGGGACGGGAAAGGGCAGAACCCCAGCTATTCTGATGCCCTTAAAGGCATCAGAATGGCGGTTCTGCCTGTGAACTACTCTGCGGAGGTACTGGGTGCGGACGACTACCCTTCAAGACGTCATCATGGATGAGGTGTTCAAGGGATGGACACATCCGATAGCGGGGTCTTCTTCAGGCCAGGTATGCTCCTTGTCCACCATATCAGGAGAGGAAACGGATATCGTCTTCGCCGCTGCATATTTTCCGAAAGACAACAACAACATTCCCCCGATGGAGGTACAGAGGCTGGTAAACCACTGCGAGCGGAAGACTCATTATTGTCACAGGCTGCGATGCAAATGCGCACCATGAGGAATGGGGCAGCTCGGACACCAACAGCAGGGGTGAGTCACTTCTAGAGTATATCCTAAGTAACGACCTAATATATGTAATGTCGGTAATAGACCCACATTCATTACTAGTCAAAGAAGTCCTAGATATCACCCTGTCTGGAAATCTGGTCTCGCAGTGGATGGTGGGGGCTGGTACGAAAGAAATAAGACCCAAACGAAACCCCAAGAAAACAAACTGGGGGCAATACTGTATTGTGCTTGAAGGGAATCTGCAGAATTTAGATCGTAAAAGCGGATTGTATGGAGTTAGAGGATAGAGTAAATAAACTGAACGGCGCCATGATAGACGCATTCAATAGTAGCTGTAGGGAGACCAGACCCAAAAACCACTCGAGAACTCCGTCGTGCGAAAGCAATTCAATATAGCCAAGAGAACTGGGTGCTGGGAGGTTTACAGTCAGCGTAACTTCATACAATAAGGAGATAAGGAAAGAGAAAAGGGAAAAGGGAAATCTTCAGATGCTATTGCGAGAACATTACATCCACTCCTGTAGCGGCAAGACTTCATAAGGCCCAGCAAAAGACAGGATAGAGACCCAACTAGCAATCAAGCTGCCGGACGGCACTTACACCGGCAGCGAAGTTGAACGAGCACGCGCTCTACTCTCCGTGCATTTTCCGGACTCATCCAACCTGACTACGGAGGGAACTGATCGAACATTTAGACCAACCCCAGGTGATTGGGGCACTGCGAGGAGCATATTCTCACGAGCCAAAGTCAAATGGGCGATGGGCTCATTTGACCGATACAAGTCCCCGGGAATGTATGGGATCTATCCGGCTTTACTGCATGAGAGAGAAGATCTAGTTACCCCACATCTAGTAGAAGTAATGAAGGCCCTAGCCTACATTCCAATAGTGTGGAGAAGAGCTCGGGTAACATTTATACCCAAGATAGACAAAAAGGACTACTCCTCAGCTAAGTCATTCAGACAAGTAAGTTTAACCTCTTTTGTACGAAAGGCGATGGAGAAAATTATTGACAATGAAATCCACAATGAATACACAGTAGCCAACACGCGTATAGAGCAGGACGATCTACGGAAACAGCCCTGTATCAGCTAACCACAAAAATCCAAAGTGCGTTTGAATCTGGGGAGGTCGTTCTCTGTGCCTACCTTGACATAGGAGCCTTCGACAACACCTCGCATGAGGCGGTAGGGCAGGCACTAGAGAAAAGAGGAGTACAAGCACCTATTCGCGGTTGGATAGAAGCGCTGTTGCGCACAAGAATAGCAGAGACTGTAATAGGGAATAAGTTTTTGCAAATAAAAACCACGAAAAACCCCTCCTTTGGAGCCTAGTTGTAGATGAACTCTTGCAAATGCTATCAGATAATGGATTCCGATTCCAAGGCGATGCGGATGACATCGTCATAATAGCAAGAGGAAAGTTCGAGAACACCCTCTGTGACATAATCCAGAGGGCCTTAAGAATAACAAAGAAATGGTGTGTGGATAAGGGTCTTAAAATAAACCCAACAAAAACAGCGATTATCCCATTCACAAGGACCCTACCGGGAATGCGAACTATAGCTCTCGATGGCACGAAAGTCGGTGTCATCTCGGAAGTGAGATACTTGGGCAACACGCTCGACGCTAAACTCTCATGGAAGGAACACGTTGATGTGACGACATCCAGAGCTATAAAAGCGCTAATGGTATGCAAACGCCTGGCGGGAAAATCTTGGGGCGGGCTGTAGCCCTCGGATTCTCAGGTGGATGTATACCATTATAGTCAAGTCCATGATAACCTATGGGGCGGTGGCCTGGGGCTCGAGAGCCAACCTAGCGACTGTGAGGCGTTCACTTACAAAACTACGACTTGCGTGTTTGTCCATCACAGGCGCAATGTGTACCTGTCCAACAGCAGCATTGGAGGTTATTCTCGAGCTCACGCCACTGCACATTAGTATAGAACAGGCAACGGAACGATCCCCAATGAATTTCACCAGGGATGGTTTTGGAAGAGGAAAAGTGGTATCATCTCGAAATATGGAACCTCTCAAGACCCAACTGCCCCTGACTCAACTCCCACGCGATGATATCTGCAGAATCATTAGTTTCGAAGGAAAATTCAAAGTAGAATTAGGGAATAAGGCAAGCTGGAATGACATAAATTTAAATAAAGATGGGAGCCTCCTTATTTGGTACACAGACGGCTCAAAAACAGCCGAAGGCAGTGAAGCTGGAATATTTGGGCCAAGAACAAGGGTCTCAGTTCCCATGGGAAAACTGCCTTGCATATTACAGGCGGAGGTTCACGGCATTAGTCTATGTGCAGAGATCAATCTTCAGCGAAAGTACCGTTATGAAAATATATTAAGAAAAAATCGATTTTCTAAATTTTTTTGCAATGTTGCTTTCACCAGGGTTTGAACTCAGGCGCAGCGGAGTGGAAGCGCGCACTGCTTACCACTACACCACAGCGTCCGCCTTTGTTCCCTTAATTGCAAGGAAAACAATGTTGTCACCATTAGGCTATGTTAATAACAAAGTTTTACGGATATCTTAAAATTTGTTTTTGTTATTTATGGCTTTTTAACAACTATCTTCAACAATTTTTATTGAGCTTGAGGCCGTTAAAAATGTTGTGGAAAAACAACAATAATTTACACATAGGTAGAAGTTATAGCTACTATCACATTTCCTCATCAGACTTCTTCACCGCGGTCACTGGGATATGAACCATTAGAAATGGCCTCAAGCTCAATAATGTTGAGATCAAAAAGTATTTCTTAACATTATTATCTTAATTTTTTGATTTTGGCCGTTTTATTATAATTTATTCGTTAATTTTGAGCTCCAGGCCGGTTATTAAATAAAATTAGATTTTGGTAGTTTTATTTATTACATTTATTGATGTCGATATTTCGCCTTCAATCTGAAGGCATTTTCAGGAATTATTGAATTTTTCCAATCGACTCGATCAAGTTGAAGGCGAAATATCGACATCAATAAATGTAATAAATAAAACTACCAAAATCTTTGTTTTATTTAATAACCGGCCTGGAGCTCAAAATTAACGAATAAATTATTATCTTAAACTAAAATTTGTATGCATATTTTCCTCCAACGGGGGGTTTGAACCCCCAAACTTACTTAAAAAATTATGTCATGCTGATGTTTATCTGCAATTTTTTTTCGAAATTTCGTTAAAATTAAGAAAAAAATTCAAGTGTACTTTAAAAAAACCGAAATTTGACTTTATTTGAAAATTGTTCCACTTTTATATATTTATGTAGATATATACATTTCGTATACGGATTCAGCGGACAATTCTGCATTAGAATTCATATAAAAATGTCGCAGGTTTTTCTGTAAATTTGCGTAATTGAATTACGCTTAAAACTCTTGCGTATAGCATACATCGCCTACGTTTTCTTCGTTTAATATCTTTATTTGACATTCACAAAGAAATTGTATTATTCGACGCTCAGCTAATGTTCGATGCGTATCTGTTAAGCCGTCGAGTAGTATGTGCACTTTCTGAAGCATGCTTACTTGCGAATTCAATGATTCCTTAGATTGAAATTTTTGTTTGAGTTCTTCGTTTTGCTTCTGCAATGATTTAAGACAATCCTTTGACTGTTGTAAAATATGTTGAATTCCCGATATTACAGTCGTAAGTTGTTGCTCTGGTTCTTCATCATTTGTTTCTTTAACGTTTTGCAGGCGGCTTGTTAGTGGTGTAAATGCAGGCAACGATTTCATATCGTTCCTCGAATCTTCAGCCTCTTTTTCTTCGTTTTGATTGCTACTATTTCTCATAATAATAAGCTCGTCTAACGAAGCTGAGTTCAATTCACTAAATTCAGGGTCTATATAATTTAAATTCTGTTCATGCGACTGTTGTTCATCTTTGACATACAGGAAAAGACTATCTTCGCATAGAGCATCTTCTGCTGTTGTTACAGTAGCTTTCGCTCTATTTTGTCGCCTGATGGTTTCGACTGGTAAAGGAATACTAAACAATTTCGAGACCATTAAAAAATGTTGATGTTTTAAAAGTATTTAGGTACGTTTACCCTTTTCTGTAATGCTCTTCGAGAAAAGATAAATTTTCAAAGTATATCCATGTTACAGGTCGTTCTGGATACAGTTTCTGGTGGCGACACTCGCGGGCAAAACGATCTCGTAATTTTTTCCAGCGGTTATAACAAACTTCTTCTGAATATGAAATATGTTAATGCATATATGTATGTAAATGTTAAGATACTTGAAATAAAATAATAAGAAAAATATTAATAGCAGTATAGTAATAATACTAATACTAACGACAATAACACCGTACAAAAACAACAAATTATAAGGTTAAGGCAGTCAAAGTTTACTCCCTTTTGGACATCCTTTTGTAAATCGGCTTAGGAAAGAATGCGGTACTTACATTTAGATACATGACGTGCTCAGCTGTTCTATGTAAAAAACATTTTATCCCTCCTAACTCCTAAATAGACGGGCCTTTTTAGTCTTTTTGCGGAGAAGTGTAAAACATACCAATAAAACAGCTCAAAATTTAACAGAACTCCAGAAATAAGTCAAAACTGAATGTGTCAACTTCGTTTAGCTGAAGGAAATTCTATACCGTTATTAAACAATGTCTATACTATTTCTACAAAACTATATGGAAAATGTTTGTCACGAGTGAGTTCAAAGAATACTGAACTGATTTAAATGATTTTTTTCTAAAACGATGCAATAAAAAAATGGATGGTACACTTATTTTTTAATTCTGGGAAGTTAAACATTTTTTTCGGGGTAAAGTTAAAAAAAAATACAAAGATGGCAAGCGTAACACTGTTCGGTCGCCAAACGGAGCGCATAGTGACGCGAAAATTCTGTACATCAGTGCCGGTTAAACAGCAGCTCACAGACAAAAACAAAGGCTGCGTTTCTTTATACTTTCCGGATAATCCCATTTCACAGCCGGAATAAACAGAATGCGTTTGAAACATACGTCATCATCATGATGCAATAATACAAGGTGGTATCAGTTGTGACAGCTTGATTTGACACTGCCTTAGCTCAGTAGAATGAGAAGAAAAACGGGAAGAAATGAATCCCCATATGGGAGAAAAATAAAAAAATTTCACATTTTCTCCTAAACAAAATTTGCTTTTTATGGTATATTCGATATGAAATAAAATAAAATACGATAAAATATCTTTTTAAGAAAAAAGGTGAGTATACTGAGCAAAAAAAAAATTCCACTATATTAATGGGCAAAGAATAGTTAAAGAAGTAACACTGTTTCACGTAAGGCAGTCAATATGGCGGAATTAGAGCGAGAAGTTGCCAACTGATAACATCTTGTATTATTGCATCATGCGTCAACATATCATCAGGAACGTTCTAAGGAATAAATAAACAAAAAAGTTTATTCCAAACGTTCAGAATGAATAAAGAAATGCAGCAAAAATATTCGTAGGAGAATGAAGTAACCTGCTCTGTTCATAAAGTATATTTGAGCTAAACGACGTTAAGTTATCCCAAAAAAGATTCACCTACATATGAATGTATATTATGGTGATTTTTTGGCGACTATTTCTTCACACCACCTCGAAATTTTGTAGGAAATGCCTAAAAAAGTTCCCTGAAAATTTTAGCCCTTAATTAAGTCCTCGACCAAGGCGTGTAAAGATTTCCCGTTTAAAATACACGTGAACTTTGATTTTTTTCTTCAAAATTCCACAGCTCAGAGGGATTTTACGGTATCTTCGTCAATAGCAAGATCTACAGAAAAAATGTAAATGATAAACTGTAGGAAGTTTGTTTCCCCTCAAAAAAGTTTTGGAACACTAAAGGCTGATTCACATACAACTTTCTTCGCTTTGCTTTGACATATAAGATCGATGTAGGCATATGCATGAGTTGCTCACATAAAAAACGTTTGAAGCAAAGCAAAGCAAAACGAAGCAAAATCTTGGGAAACTCTCAACTTTTGCCCGCTTTGACAATCAGCTGTCTACAAGTATCTTTAAAATAAATAGGAATTTTTATTGCTATTATTATTGCATATTATTATATTGATACAAATAAAAAATATGGAGGAAAAGGAGAACGCAAAAGCTGTCAAAGCATAATGTAGCATACCTTCTGCGTTTCACGCTTTGTTGTCAAAGTTTGAACTGTCAAGCAAAGCGAGGGAAGTTGTATGTGAATGGCCCTTAAATCGCTAACATCGACATTTCTTGAGATATTGGGCTTTGAAGTTGATCAACAATTTATATAATTAAGCTCAATAATTCACGAAAAATCCACACAACGATGGGTGTTATATAATTCGAATTCCGTACAAGTTTACATTTACATTTTTTTGTAGCTCTTGTTATTTACGAGATAGAGGCAAAAAACGAGAAAACAAAATAATTTGAGCACGGTACTAATTGAGGACCCAATTCTTTAATTACTAGTCTAGTTACTACCTAATTGAGACCAAGATCTATTCACACCCAATAATACAGCCCAGAAGTAGGGATAAATCGATACAAGTAAATTCAAGTACATACTCGATACTTTTCTCAACTTACCAAGTATTTTTGTACTCGATACTTTTTACTGCGATCCAAGTAGGTATCGAAAAAAAAGTACTTGTATCGCAAGCGCAAAACTTATTATGCTTCAGCATCTTCATTGAAAAGCAACCCATTAGAGGAATTGGAAGATATGCGCAATACATTTCCGCAGCTATATAAGCAAGCCCAGTGTTGGGAAATGAGATTCTTCCTTCCGTACGAAATCTATACAAAAACTGTACTTTTCGACAGTAAATTGTATCGACTTTTTAATTTGCTCATATATTTTTTTAGTACATGCATACATAGATCCAATAGGAATTTTTATTGCTATTATTATTGCATATTATTATATTGCTATCTATTTTACAAATAAAAAATATGGAGGAAAAGGAGAACGCAAAAGCTGTCAAAGCATAATGTAGCATACCTTCTGCGTTTCACGCTTTGTTGTCAAAGTTTGAACTGTCAAGCAAAGCGAGGGAAGTTGTATGTGAATGGCCCTTAAATCGCTAACATCGACATTTCTTGAGATATTGGGCTTTGAAGTTGATCAACAATTTATATAATTTAGCTCAATAATTCACGAAAATTCCACACAACGATGGGTGTTATAGAATTCGAATTCCGTACAAGTTTACATTTACATTTTTTTGTAGCTCTTGTTATTTACGAGATAGAGGCAAAAAACGAGAAAACAAAATAATTTGAGCACGGTACTAATTGAGGACCCAATTCTTTAATTACTAGTCTAGTTACTACCTAATTGAGACCAAGATCTATTCACACCCAATAATACAGCCCAGAAGTAGGGATAAATCGATACAAGTAAATTCAAGTACATACTCGATACTTTTCTCAACTTACCAAGTATTTTTGTACTCGATACTTTTTACTGCGATCCAAGTAGGTATCGAAAAAAAAGTACTTGTATCGCAAGCGCAAAACTTATTATGCTTCAGCATCTTCATTGAAAAGCAACCCATTAGAGGAATTGGAAGATATGCGCAATACATTTCCGCAGCTATATAAGCAAGCCCAGTGTTGGGAAATGAAATTGTTCCTTGTACTTTACTTTTCGACAGTAAATTGTATCGACTTTTTAATTTGCTCATATATTTTCTTAGTACATGCATACATAGATTCCCTTCAAGACCAATGATTTGATGGTATTCATGGGAAAGTTTATGTAGGTACATTTACATATTTTACACTTTTAACATAAATGTGTATGCACATATTTTAAGGCACACTTCTTGACAAACAAATTTTTTAAGTTATTATGAATGGATAAAACAGACCTCTTCTTTGAATTCAGTACTAAAACTTAACATTTGAAGTGCTTAGCAATACTTTACGACACGCACATATTAACAAGGTTGGCCATTTACCTTTAAGTTATTTAATTTGTTTATTTGTCTATAAAAATTCGGTTTATACTTTAACAAAACCCGTATAAGTCCAAGGTTCAATCTTTGCGCAACATTAAAAAAATCAACAAACTCTCGTAAAATTGTCGAGCTTTTTAATTAGATTTCCTAGAAATACATATTTTGAGTATGCAGTTTTGAAGCCCGATCAATTAAAACAAAGTGCATGTTTAAAATAGCTGTGACTTATCGTTCATTTTTAATATAGATATATTTTTTTGATGGAGGTTTTGCTCATTTTCTCCATAAAAAAAAAACGTCGAGCATACTTAGATAATATGGAAGAAAATGACCGACATCGTCAAAAAAATACCACAAATCAACGGTAAATCCCAGCTACTTTAAACTTGCACTTTATTATACTGAAATTGAATGAGCTAAAAAACTGCAAATTCTTAAAAAAAAATTTAAATAGAAAGCTCGAAATTTTTATGAAAGTTTGTCAATTTTTTTAAATGTTGTTCAAAGATTTAAACTTACTTTCATACAGCTTTTGTTAAGGATTAAACTAGATTTTTATAAACAAATATTTAAAATTAAAAAATAATAAAATAAATAGTCAAATCTAGTCAATATGTGAGTGTCATGAAGTAATGATATTTAAGAACATCTTTTTCTTAATTAACGATGACATTGTTTCTATATGCAGCTTTTGTTTTAATAAGATTTCAAAACTTACAAAGGCAAAAACGAGAAAGCGAAGACAAAAAAGGAATAAAAATATTCCCCGCAGTGATTTTTCAGAGCTATATATTTATAGGATTCATCACAAAATTCTACTAAAAAGTAGTGCTTACAAAGGCAAAAACGAGAAGGCGAAGACAAAAAAGGAATAAAAATATTCCCCGCAGTGATTTTTCAGAGCTATATATTTATAGGATTCATCACAAAATTCTACTAAAAAGTAGTGCTTACAAAGGCAAAAACGAGAAGGCGAAGACAAAAAAGGAATAAAAATATTCCCCGCAGTGATTTTTCAGAGCTATATATTTATAGGATTCATCACAAAATTCTACTAAAAAGTAGTGCTTACAAAGGCAAAAACGAGAAGGCGAAGACAAAAAAGGAATAAAAATATTCCCCGCAGTGATTTTTCAGAGCTATATATTTATAGGATTCATCACAAAATTCTACTAAAAAGTAGTGCTTACAAAGGCAAAAACGAGAAGGCGAAGACAAAAAAGGAATAAAAATATTCCCCGCAGTGATTTTTCAGANCATCGTCAAAAAAATACCACAAATCAACGGTAAATCCCAGCTACTTTAAACTTGCACTTTATTATACTG